GGGGGGGGGGACATGTGCGCGGGACGGAGGCGAGACGCGGCGGCATGCGGGTGCGAGCGAGACGGACGGCGTGTAAGGACGGAAGGAATGTGCTGCAAGACGTGAATAATAGATGTGCCGACCTGCGTCAATATCACATACAGGGTGTGACGAGAGCGGCTGAGCTGGAGCCAGGGCGGGAGCCATCCCCAGTCCATTCTTCATCGCGATGGCACCGTGACAGAGGAGTAAGAGCCCCCAGGGTGAGAAATTCGTCCTCATTTCTCGCGCGAAATTTGATGATTCCGGTCGATGTGCGGGGGCCGTGATGGTGTGTTTTAGTCGGCCGGCGCCCCGCCCCGCCGAGACGGGCCTTTATCGAGTTCTCCATCGCGGCTGATGAAGTTCAGGAATGGACTGCCGCTGTCGTGGCTGTCGGGGCCGGTAATGTGCGCCTAATATTCTAGCGATATGATTACAGCCGAGAAGGGCTTTTGCAAGGAGAATTAGTAATGAAAGGGTTCAAGCGAATTCGTTGGCTCGCACATCGCGACAGCTCTGACGGCGGTCCATTTCTCTCGTGCAAGGCGGCGGGTACTTTTGAATTTCCTTGGCCAGCGCGCGGAGAGGCGGCCGTCGGCCGCGCCCTGCTGCGAAACGAAGCAGAGTCTTTAAGAGGGCGGGGTGGGACGGGAGGATGCCAGAGACTTGTTAGGCGAAACGAGATTCCAGCGCCCAGCGTCATTTGGCAAATGGACAAGCAGGCCGGCGACAAATGACTCTGTTCAACCGACGAGTCCAACTTTGCTTCGAATGAGGACGGGGGATGCGAAACAAGGCTGGGGTCAGTGGGGGGTAGAGGGTGGGGAGGAGGAGGAAAAAGGGGGTACGCGTCAACAAGCATCCTCACCTCACTCGCTTTCTTGGCAGAAGGGGAGGCTGTTGAAAACCAAATGACACACTGCTGGGGTCACGGCCTGCGAGTCAGCAAGTCAAAGTACAGGTTAATGCAGACTGCCTCAGCCCCGCCGCTCTCCACCGCCCCGCCCCGTCGCCGCGCCAAACCGGGCCAATTCCAAACCAAAATATAGAATTCCAGATCCATGAATTATGGATTAGGCCGTGCCTCGCCTCGCCTCGGCCCAGCCAAATGCCGGATGGAGCGATGAGGCCCCTGGCACGGGCGCGCGCACGTGTGGGGCGGAGCCGGGCAGAGCGAGGGTCGGGAAAAGGAGGAAAATGGTCCGTCGCGCGCGCTGGGCTCCTTCATGGTTCAGTTCTTGAGTTAACACAACGCGCGGCACCATCTGTGACTGTGGGCGCCGCAACCATCCCCTCTGCAGCCCCCGACCGCCCGCCCCCGGGACGCAGAAACAGGGTGTACGTAACGCAAACTGCACCGCACCTGCACGAGTCCGACTTACTTATGCTTATCTACCTATCGAGAGCAGGGAAATGGTGCAAAGTGGTCTCGTTTTTAAAAGGGTCTTTATTTCAGAGGGGGGAAAAAACCAACGAACATTGGCGTACATATATGAACCCTCTGCTGGGCACACATTCTCTCCCTCGCTGCAACACTTTTGCCAGGGGTGCTTTGGCGCTTTTACAATGAAAGCTGGCCGTGACAGCCTAGCGGTGCCGGAGTGCTCCGGTGCCGGTGCGGCCGGTGCAACGCCACCCCCGCCCCGCCCCGCCCCGCCCCAAGGCGCACGCGCCCACGCTGCTGTTTCGCTGAAACGCGCTTTCCACGCTAATGGCCGTGGAATATGAAAAGCCACAGGTGGAGGGTTTGTCGTTATTTTTTGTAGGCGTGCGGGGGCGGCGCGGTCTGCTCTGGCGGCGGGTTCTGCGTGGCCGGCGGCTCCCGGATTGTCTGGTCGAGCACGGTCGGGACCAGCATGATGCCGTCAAACACCAGGGCCACGCCGCGGTTCCACAGCGACCCCAGCCTGCGGGCCAGCTCGTGCGTCACGGGGACCTAGCAGCAAAAAGAGAAAGGGGTAATGTGAGCACCCTTAGCTCCTTGCAAAGGATTTTTTATTTCTCGACAAATTCAGTTTCTAAGAAAACGTTTCTGGATTAGCCATCCGCATGCAAACTTCGATCTTTATGTTACAAAGCTTATTTGCAATACGTAACTAGGAAAACTTCATTTTATAACTAGAAAATTTCATGTGTTACAATTAATGTTTTAAAAAATATTCGTAATACAAATGATCCACAGTTTTCATATGCATTTCGAAGATCGGCTCGCTGTTCGTAAGAAACGTACAGTGTCAGCACCAAAGGTATTAGGGTGCAAGATAATCAAAAGACAACATATTCTTAAGCAAACATAAAGTGTCTGTACAGAGTTTGGTATTAATTATATTCCTGTTATTACAGTCTCCTTCGATGCCGACCTGGTGACTCCTCGACTCGACCAACCTCTGGCAGTTGCCCGGGCGGCAGCTTGAGGTCCACGTCGATGGAGTTGGCGAGGCAGAGGGCCGCTCGGCCGTACAGGCGTGCCGTGCCCTCGTGGCCCGCCCAGAGCCCCTGCTCGTTGGAGAAGGCCACCAGACCGAACACGAACGCGGCCTTGAGGGTGAGGCCGAGCATGTGCAGCAGGCGGCCGGCGGCCGTGAGCGGCGGCTCCTCCAGCGGGCACGGGCAGCTGGGCGGCGGGCGCAGCCGCTGCACGTCTCGGGGCCCGCAGACCCGCACGGGCTGCGCTGGGGGCAGCGGTAGACTAGGTGAGGCCGAGCATTTGCGTAGCATGTGCAGAGCATGTGCAGAGCATGTGCAGAGCATGTGCAGAGCATGTGCAGAGCATGTGCAGAGCATGTGTTGAGCAGGCCCCTAAGGGGTGGCTGGACTGGACGGCGGGCGCAGCCGCTGCACGTCTCAGGGACTCGGGGGATGCGCTTCAGACCTCCACGGGCTGCGCTGGGAGCAGCGGGAGCGGGAGGATAGATAGGTCTCGGCGCCCGCTGGCCGAAACGGACCGAAAGGTCATCGCCGTCTTTTGCTTTTCTTTTCATTCCGGAGAACGGCGAGGAAATCAGTCCGTCGCGACGTGTCGGCGCTGACCTTTGGACTCAAATGTTACGGCAGCCAGCGACCCGCGCCTGCCGGTATTACAATCGAACCGTACCCGAGCGTGCGGGGCTGAGGTCCCCGCCCACCGGCCCCCGGCGCACCGGGCGGGCCGCTCGTGTTGGCTCTGCTCTCCTTCATGTCAAATTTGATCAGCGGACTACGTGTACACGGCCGTGTACGAGATTTGCTATAATTGCCCCAAGAGAGAAGCCGTGCCGGACAGGCGGCCGGCCCTCGCCAGGCCCCCGGGGCCCCCACTGCCGCCCCCTCCCCCCGGCCTCGTTGTGCCCACACGCTCCGGCGCACAGGTCCTTAGGGCGAGCCGCTCGACCAGTGCAGGTCTTAAGGCTCGTGGTGGGGGCGCAGGGCGCAGGGCCCCGCACTACAGCGCTCCACAGGGCTCGCAGGGCGCTCCGCGGGGCGCTCACTTAGTGGAGCCGGGCAGAGCCTTTCCCTATTTCCGCTGCGTTTGTTTCTCGCGGCGGAACGAGGGCGGGGCCGGCGGGGTGTGAGCCCCTTGCAAGTGCGCGCTGCGCGGCGGGCAGGGCTACACTGCTTTCTCGTCTCAAGGGGAAATAATTTTGTATGGTTCGAGGACATTTTTCATCGCAAATATTGACGGCGCTCATTATGACCCACTTTTTAAAGGCTTTATTTTCCTTTCCTTTCTTTTA